TTTCGGGCCTTTGTCGCAGTGTCCCTCTTTGAATAATCTTTTTAATACCAAAGCGCGGCAATGCGACAACGCGACATTTTTCAAGGTCACAATATGTCACGTTGTCGCACTGTCGCACTGTCGCCCCATCAAAACGTGTTAAAAAGGGATTGATAATGTCGCATTGTCGTGCTGCATTTTAACGCCTTTTTTACAAATGGGTATTGGTTTTAGTGTGGGTATTGATGTGGGGGGAGAGGGGGTATGGGTGTGGGTGTGGGTGTGGGCATTGGTGTGGATGTGGTTGTGGGTATGGATGTGGATGTTGGTGTGGGTGTGAGTATTGGTGTGGATGTGGTAGTGGTTGCGGGTATGGACGTGGATGTGGGTATTGGTGTGGGTGTGGGTTGGGGTATTGGTGTGTGTAGGTGTGGGTGTGGATATGGGGTGGATGTGGGTGTGGGTGTGGGTCGGGGTATTGGTGTGGGTGTGGTGTGGATGTGGATATGGGTGTGCATGTGGGTGTGGATGTGGATGTGGGTGTGGATATGGGTGTGGATGTGGGTGTGGGTGTGGGTGTGGATATGGGTGTGGATGTGGGTGTGGGTGTGGATATGGGTGTGGATGTGGGTGTGGGTCGGGGTATGGATGTGGATGTGGGTTGGGGTATTGGTGTGTGTAGGTGTGGGTGTGGATGTGGGTATGGGTGTGGATGTGGGTATGGGTGTGGGTCGGGGTATTGGTGTGGGTGTGGGTGTGGGTATGGATGTGGATATGGGTGTGGATGTGGGTGTGGGTCGGGGTATTGGTGTGGATGTGGGTTGGGGTATTGGTGTGTGTAGGTGTGGGTGTGGGTGTGGGTCGGGGTATTGGTGTGTGTAGGCATGGGTGTGGATGTAGGAATGGGTATTGATGTGGATATGGGTGTGGGTGTGGATATGGGAAAGGGTGTGGATGTGGATGTGGGTGTGGTTTTGGGTATTGATGTGGATGTGGGTGTGGTTGTGGTAATGTGTGGATGTGGGTGTGGTTGTGGGTATTGGGGTGGATGTGGGTGTGGTTGTTGGTATTGGTGTGGATGTGGTTGTTGGTATTGGTGTGGATGTGGTTGTTGATCTTGGTGTGGATGTGGGTGTGGTTGTTGGTATTGGCGTGGATGTGGTTGTTGGTATTGGTGTGGATGTGGTTGTTGGTATTGGTGTGGGTGTGGTTGTTGGTATTGATATGGATGTGGGTGAGGTTATTGGTATTGGTGTGGATGTGGTTGTGGTTGTTGGTATTGGTGTGGATGTGGTCGTGGTTGTCGTGGTTGTTGGGTGTTGGTCAGGGTATGGATGTGGGTGTGGATGTGGGTGTGGGTGTGGATGTTGGTGTGGGTCGGGATATTGGTGTGTGTAGGTGTGGATGTGGGTATTGGTTTAGATGTGGGTGTAGCTATTTGCATGGATGTGGGTGTGGTTGTTGGTATTGGTGTGGTTGTGGGTGAGGTTATTGGTATTGGTGTTGATGTGGTCGTGGTTGTTGGCATTGTGTGGATATGGGTGTGTGTGTTGGTATTGTGTGGATGTGGTTGTTGGTATTGGTGTGGATGTGGGTGTGGTTGTTGGTATTGGTGTGGATGTGGGTGTGGGTTGATGGTATTGGTGTGTGTGGTGGGTATGTTGGTGTGGTTGTGGGTATTGGTGTGGATGTGGGTGTGGTTGTTGGTATTGGGGTGGATGTGGGTGTGGTTGTTGGTATTGGTGTGGATGTGGTTGTTGGTATTGGTGTGGATGTGGTTGTTGATCTTGGTGTGGATGTGGGTGTGGTTGTTGGTATTGGCGTGGATGTGGTTGTTGGTATTGGTGTGGATGTGGTTGTTGGTATTGGTGTGGGTGTGGTTGTTGGTATTGATATGGATGTGGGTGAGGTTATTGGTATTGGTGTGGATGTGGTTGTGGTTGTTGGTATTGGTGTGGATGTGGTCGTGGTTGTCGTGGTTGTTGGGTGTTGGTCAGGGTATGGATGTGGGTGTGGGTGTGGATGTTGGTGTGGGTCGGGATATTGGTGTGTGTAGGTGTGGATGTGGGTATTGGTTTAGATGTGGGTGTAGCTATTTGCATGGATGTGGGTGTGGTTGTTGGTATTGGTGTGGTTGTGGGTGAGGTTATTGGTATTGGTGTTGATGTGGTCGTGGTTGTTGGCATTGTGTGGATATGGGTGTGTGTGTTGGTATTGTGTGGATGTGGTTGTTGGTATTGTGTGGATGTGGGTGTGGTTGTTGGTATTGGTGTGGATGTGGGTGTGGGTTGATGGTATTGGTGTGTGTGGTGGGTATGTTGGTGTGGTTGTTGGTATTGGTGTGGATGTGGGTGTGGTTGTTGGTCTTGGTGTGGATGTGGGTGTGGTTGTGGGTATTGGCATTGATGTGGGTGTGGTTTTTGGTCTTGGTGTGGATGTGGGTGTTGTTGTGGGTATTTGGGTGGATGTGGTTGTGGTTGTGGGTATTGGCATGGATGTGGGGGTGTTTTTTGGTCTTGGTGTGGATGTGGTGTGGTTGTTGGTATTCATGTGGATGTGGTTGTGGTTGTGGGTATTGGTGTGGATGTGGGTGTGGTTTTGGGTATTGAGGTGGATGTGCGTGTTGGTGTGGTTGTGGTTGTTGGTATTCGTGTGGATGTGGATGTGGTTGCTGGTCTTGGTATGGATGTGGTTGTGGGTATTGGTGTGGATGTGAGTGTGGTTGTTGGTATTGGTGTTGATGTGGTTGTTGGTATTGGTGTGGATGTGGGTATGGTTGTTGGTATTCGTGTGGATGTGGATGTGGTTGTTGGTATTGGTGTGGTTGTGGTTGTGGGTATTGGTGTGGATGTGGATGTGGTTGTTGGTATCGGTGGGGATGTGAGTGTGGTTGTTGGTATTGGTGTGGATGTGAGTGTGGTTGTTGGTATTGGTGTGGATATGGTGTGGTTGTTGGTATTGTGTGGATGTGGGTGTGGTTGTTGGTATTGGTGTGGATGTGGGTGTGGCTGTTGGTATTGGTGTGTGTGGTGGGTATGTTGGTGTGGTTGTTGGTATTGGTGTGGATGTGGTGTGGTTGTTAGTATTGGTGTGGATGTGGTGTGGTTGTTGGTATTGATGTGGATGTGAGTGTGGTTGTTGGTATTGGTGTGGATGTGGTGTGGTTGTTGGAATTGGTGTGGATGTGGGTGTGGCTGTTGGTCTTGGTGTGGATGTGGTCGTGGTCGTGGTATTGTGTGGATGTGGGTGTGGTTGTTGGTATTGGTGTGGATGTGGGTGTGGTTGTGGGTATTTGGGAGGATGTGGGTATTGATGTGGATGTGGGTGTGGTTGTGGGTATTGATGTGGATGTGGGTGTGGTTGTGGGTATTGACATGGATGTGGTGTGGTTGTTGGTATTGGTGTTGATGTGGGTGTTGCTGTGGGTCTTGGTGTGGATGTGGTCGTGGTTGTTGGTATTGTGTGGATGTCGGTGTGGTTGTTGGTATTGATGTGGATTTGGGTGTGGTTGTGGGTATTGGTGTGGATGTGGGTGTGGGTGTTGGTATTAGTGTGGATGTGGGTGTGGTTGTTGGTCTTGGTGTGGATGTGTGTGTGGTTGTGGGTATTGACATGGATGTGTGTGTGGTTGTTGGTCTTGGTGTGGATGTGGGTGTGGTTGAGGGTATTGACATGGATGTGGGTGTGGTTGTTGGTCTTTGTGTGGATGTGGGTGTGGATGTGGGTGTGGTTGTGGGTATTGGTGAGGATGTCGGTATTTGTGTGGATGTGGGTGTAAATATGGGTAAATGGTGTGGGTTTGGTGGGTGTGTGGAGATGGGTGTGGCTGTGGGTGATGGTTTGGGTGTTAGTGTGGGGTAGGTATTGGTGTGGGGATGGGTATTGGTGTTCGTGTGGATGTGTAAATGGGTTTTGGTGTGTGTGTGGGCGGTATATGGGTGTAGATGTTGGTGAGGGTGTGTGTTTGGGTTTGGGTGTTTGTGTGGGGATGTGTATGGTTGTGGGTCTAGGTGTGTGTTGGTGTATATGTTCATTAATTCAAATACTTACTAAACATTGCGGTCAGGGTATCTAGATAACTGTTTAATTCAACTCCCCTTTGAGCATGCTTTCTTGTGTGGATTTCGCCCATTAAACATATATGCCGTGTTATATTTATCAAATTCAATTGATCTGTGTAATATAAGTGACGACGATTTCCGAGGATGATGTTTCATGTATACCTGTGTAAGTTTTGATCGTTTCGTGTTGAACGCCGCACACAGCAATATTACAGCTATTTAAATAATCGAGTGAGTATAGTTTAACGCCGCTTTTAGCAATATTCTAGCAATATCACGGCAGTGAACACCTGAAATCGGCTTCATAAGTTGTACCCATATGGGGAATCGAACCCGGACCTTCGGCGTGGCGAGCGAACGCCTTCACCGCCCCGGTCGTAAGTAATCCATTAAATAAACCAAACAAACGTCGATGCTATGAGCAACGGCCCACGTCGGGTATTGGTATACGACAATCATAGGTTGCTGTGGACCAACTCGAACCCGGAATTCCCACGGGGGCCAGCTGTAAGTAACCCTCAGTTCGGACATGTGAACTTTCAGCAACCCTGCTTGTAGTAAGAGGCGATTAGCTGGATCGGGTGGTCAGTCTCGCTGACTTGGTTGATGCATGTCATCGTATCCCAGCTGCGTGGATCGATGCTCATGATGTCAGTCACTGGATTGTCTGGTCCAGACTCGATTATTTACAGACCGCCGTCATATAGCTGGATTATTGCTGAATGCGGCGTTTAACAACAATCGATGCTCATGACATCAATCACTGGATTGCCTGTCGAGAACAGACCTCAATATAGTACCCCAGTACTGACATGACATTTAATTACCAGTCGAACATTTCTGAAATGCTTCTGTTATGCTCAGGATACGAATTTTTCTGGAATATTTCAAGGAGAGAAAAAGTCACACGCAGCTGTGTATTTTTAATGTACATAAATGAAATTGTTAAAAAACAGCATGCTATTTGTGTCACCACTCTCCTTGCAATGACTACACGATGAATTCAGCATCACACATCATATTTGCACTGTTAAACCATAAGATTACCCACTGCATGTGTTTAGAAATTCATTTCGTGTCCAGTAATCCACCTCATGTCGTCTTATTTGCATGCGTATTGTTACAATGATTTATTGACGATTCAACTGAAGAATACCTGCATTCTAATCTGTTAGTAACCCGAGGAACGAGGGTGGAAGAGTTTGTGAAAGAGTATCTCGCCTTTCTATCCGTGATAGCGTGTGAATGGCTCACGGGAGACGCTGAGCCCACGCGGGAAAAGACGTAATAAAGACGGACTTAAGTTATAACCTTGCCGAACACCACCACGGGCTGTGGGGAGTGTGCGGAGCTCGACAGTCAAGTCAAGTCCCCATGGAGACAAATCACTGCCAGCTTCCAGAAGACAAAGTGCGTGAAACGTGACACAAAGTCCATACATCTATCATCCTCCAGGGTGCACACAGGTGAGTCACCATGACACTTTATGTATGTTTGGTTTCAACATGGGTACAAACCATGTCACAATAACGTAAACACCCAATCACACCATGGGTTCGAAGGTCGCATTCGCCCAGATTATATGTACAGTAAACTACGGTTATAACGAACTCGAAGGGACTACTAATTATAGTTCGTTATAACCGTAGTTTGTTATAAACATAATACAGCATAACTACAGCAAATAGTCGGGACCAAAAAGTAAGTTCGTTATATCCGCCAGTTCGTTATAAGCGTGTTCGTTTTAACCGTAGTTTACTGTATGAGTTTATCAGCCTACTACCACTTACCACCCATGTGGGGAATGTTTGAGACCTGCATCACCGGCTTCCATATACCGTTAACATAACACATCCTCATTTATCTTTCTTTTTAATGAACACGTGTCCGAGGCTATTCTATTCAGCATGGAGTATTAGTGATGTTATAAATCAAATATGACATGCACATTGACAAAAAGGACATCAGTAATGTCAAACGGAGTAATAGCGTTTACTGTTATATGAAACTCGGGCTGTTTGATAAACTAGACCCATGCAGGGGAGCGGAAGGTATTGTGATATGTGCAACGCCCGCTGGATGTCTAACGAGCCGAATGACTGACATGTGCGTAATGTATTCCTGTCTAAAGTAGATGTAGGGTTGGGTTTTGTCCTTGTTACGGGAGCACGTTGTTGTCGTACTGCACAGGCTAGGCTAAAACACATAGTGCAGTGAATATGTCATGGAGGTGCAACATTTGTTGGAGGATTCGTATCATTAAGGTCGGTAGTTAGACGTATTCCTGTAAATTCTGACGTATCTCTGTGCGTTCTATGAGACTGAACATTTAGTATTCTAGGGTAGGATCTGCGCCAAATGGAATCTTTTTCAGTGGATAATCTAGACTTGCTTTGACAATTTATGTTTAAAAAATAATTTTGCATCATATTTTAAAATAAGAATTAAATTATTTGCTGAAAATAATGTGTCCTTTGATTAGGGTTACAATATTCAAGGCCACAGTAAAGTATTCCAAACGTTTTATGGTAGACATGTGAAGAAATATTCCAAATTCGACGCATTCTGTGACAAAAATGTCTTTTTTTTTAGGTGAACAATTGACTTGCCTTTGCATGTGTTTGCGGGTCAGGATATGCTTACCTTTTCATAAGAAAATGTCGAATGTAAACAAATATCACTCTCCTCAAGACTATTGATACGTTGGTGTAAGTAATAAAAGTGTGCGAATCCATTTGACACATCCGAATGATTGAGTCGCTTAACGGGAAGGTCTGCGAAGATAAGCAGGGTTGACAGAGGGAAGACTGCACAGCCAGTCGCGCGGCATGGCAGGTGTCAACGAGGCTGAAGGCGATTTCTTTGAACTTTTTAACTCATGAAGTGTGCGTGGCAAACATTAAAGGAGACGGAGATACGCAGCAGCCTTCTCCTACACCCGAGTCTTTCTGCACCGCTTTAAACCCAGGTTGACGCAGAGCAGACTGAAACTCTGAGATATTCTTTAGACACATGCTCATATTGTTAAAAGTTTGTTTGGGAAAAATGAATTCTACGGTACGTCAAATATATTAACGTTCTGTAAGTGAGTGAGTGGTTGGTTGGTTAAATATATTAACGTTCTGTAAGTGAGTGAGTGAGTGAGTTAGTGGTTGGTTGGTTGTTTGGTTAAATATATTAACGTTCTGTAAGTGAGTGAGTGGTTGGTTGGTTGGTTGGTTGTTTGGTTAAATATATTAACGTTCTGTAAGTGAGTGAGTGAGTGAGTGGTTGGTTTGTTAAATATATTAACGTTCTGTAAGTGAGTGAGTGAGTGAGTTAGTGGTTGGTTGGTTGTTTGGTTAAATATATTAACGTTCTGTAAGTGAGTGAGTGGTTGGTTGGTTGGTTGGTTGGTTGGTTAAATATATTAACGTTCTGTAAGTGAGTGAGTGAGTGAGTGAGTGGTTGGTTAAATATATTAACGTTCTATAAGTGAGTGAGTGAGTGAGTTAGTGGTTGGTTGGTTGTTTGGTTAAATATATTAACGTTCTGTAAGTGAGTGAGTGAGTGAGTTAGTGGTTGGTTGGTTGTTTGGGTAAATATATTAACGTTCTGTAAGTGAGTGAGTGAGTGAGTGAGTGACATTCAAGCTGTATTCAAATTGTACCCGTATAGGAAATGAAAACCGACTGGCGGAGAACGCTACACTCACAAGTCCACCCTAAAGCATGTTACCGTCTGTAGGGACTCTTGGCTAGAACACATCCCTCGCAACCTATGCTTGTCGAAAAATGTGACTATATGGATCACTCGGTCACAATTGAATTTTTATACAAGCTATATTTGGCGGCTGCATGAGTAAATGAAATATAACAACACAAAAACGACAACGATGCCAACAATAATGAGTGAGTGAGTGGGTGAGTTGGGTTTAACGCCGCTTTTATCAGTATTCCAGTTATATCGCGGCGTCCAACAACAGCAACAACAACAATAACAATGATGATAATAATAATAATAATAATAATAATAATAATAATAATAATAATAATAGCCTGACTGTGCCAGGATCACCCAAACACTCTTTGCAGCATTTTTAATTTTAATCTGTAAATAATAATAATAATTATTATAATTGTGTTTGAAAAGGACATGGCGTTACTCTCGAATGCAATGACGTCATGAAACAATGTATGACGTAATCATACCCGAGTTTGCTTTGATGTAAAAAGACACGAGGGTGACATTTTATTTATCCTTCAAGATCATTCCTCCAACGTTTTCAGTTTGTAAACAGAACTAATCCGAGTCCTGAGTGTAACAAGTACAGCTAACCAGCTTCAGAAAGTCTAGTGATGTCATTTGATTGTGACGTCATGATAACGATGACAATTCATTGAAGCGGTATCACTGAAACGATATCTACCATGGACGCGAGTTGTGGGTGATAAATAGAGGTTATCGCGCGAGTGTGTTAGGAATAAACATTGTATTTAGCGAGCCTTGGCGAGCCTAATGCCGAGAAACCTACGCATTATATGATAAAGTATATTACCAATACAACCGATCCGATTGGTTTGACAGATTATCATTCCTCATCTACCCGATAGACCGGCGGCGGTCGATTTGTCGTAGGCCTCGATTGGACGATACTAAGCAAGGCATTCACTGGTTTGTTGTAATTATTCTCGCTCGAAGCAGGATTCGAGATGAACGCATGTCTCCATGTTTAATGGCATTCAAATAATAGCCTCTTGGATGTTACGCATGCGCACCTATGTAACCGGATATGGTACAGATTTGTACCACTTTTTTGGCCGTGGCGTCGCGTACCACCGGTGGAACCAGTTTACTGACTGGCCAGCCGCTGTCTAGTAAAACCCACAAGTCGACTAAGCAGACTTCATGACGTCAGAATATATAATCTGACGTCACTTGCTTGTTATGTTATCATTATTAACATTGGTCACTCAGTTAACATGCAGTATACCACTCGTATGACCAACCTAGTACCTCTGCCACAGGCTAGCGACATGTGACGGTTCGTCACATCTTACACAGCTCATTCAACAAATTACATATATTTTCACCTGTTTCATATTTTAATAACTTAAACACATAGATGAAGATATGTCATTAACTGGTTAACTTCCATAAAGAAATATCATAAAACGTAAAATAAATTATTCCATTTCGTAGTTATCCTATGTTTACATTGGTTGTACGGCTCCAGATATTGTCATCGAAGCCCTGCCGAGAGGTAACAATACGATCACATTGATGTATAAAGATATATGATCATGTACCTCTTCGTAGCAGTTGAGTGAATGAGTGAGTGAGTGAGTGAGTTAGTGAGTTAGTTAGTTAGTTAGTTTGGTATAACGCCGCTTTTAACATTATTCCAGTTTTATCGCGGCGTTTACCACTTCGGTGAAACCCACGCGCTCGGGTATGGTGCTGACAAACCTAGAAACATAATTGGGGCGAACCGGGATTCGAACCCACAATCATAGGTTTCTGGCGTGCCCAAGGGACGCAACTCTGCATAGCGAATCGCGGCGCCTTAGACGACTGGGCCACCCGTGCCCCCTCGTAGCAGTTGAAGTAGCGTATCTATATACATATAATTATGCAAAACGATGTGTTAAGCGCAACGAAACATCTAATTGTCACACAGAAAATCCTGAACACTGTGTTTGTATTTCAACTCCCACACCGTCATGCAGGGGGCACCAGAAATTGGCTTCAGACATTGTACCGTGTCAGAAATTAACCCAGGCCTTCGGCGTGACGAGCGACCGCTTTTACCACCCCATCGCCCAATAATAGCGTGTGCTACCGGAAGAGCAGGACACGCCATCCCAGGTGTCATCACTGATTTTCAGTGATCCATTCATATAATTTTTCGCTGTGCAGAGTTGCGTCCCTTGGGAACGCCAGAAACCTATGATTGTGGGTTCGAATCCTGGTTCGCCCCAATTATGTTTCTAGGTTTGTCAACACCATACCCGTGCTCGTGGGTTTCGCCGAAGTGGTAAACGTCTGAGACCTACATCACTTCGGGCTTTCCTCCCACATTAAACTGACACGCCGTGATATAACTGGAATACTGTTAAAAGCGGCGTTAAACCCAACTCACATGCACTCATATAATTTTTCTTCACTATTTTGCCTTTTACACCGAATGGAGTCTGATATTCGAGCTGATAATTGTTTAGCGTTGACGTTTTGAATACCCAGATAGTGCAGCGTAGCGTCACCAAATCCTTGAAACCAACTTGACCTGGGCCCACTTGCACAAAGCGATCTTAGCGCTACGACTATTGTAAGCCTATGTTAAAGTATGGGAGTTAAGATCATCTTAGCGCTAAGATCGCTTTGTGCAAGTGGGCCCTGGTGTATCATATAATGTGCCTTTCTCTCAAATTCTGTGATCTTTGAAAGTTTATGAGTTTATTGACACTTCACCAAAGCAATGTAAGGGTTCGCGAAACTATTTATAACTTGAATAACGTGTTTACAATCTTCAACACATGCACGTGACCTTGATGACGGCGTCGGGTATGTTAAGCTCCCGGTAGATACAATACGGAAAATAGAGCGTGCTCAATTATGTGTTGTGTGACGTACAACGGAAGCTGGTGTGTATTGAAGACGCTCAGATGTCATGCAGTCCACAAAACGCTTAATGGTTGGTGTTTTTGAATATATTTATACGTGAGATCTTGTCGCGTGATGTTTCATGTTTAAAAAATAGGTCAGGGGCGGCCCCGGAATTCCTGTCAGAGTTGCGTCCCCTGGGCTCGCCAGGAACCTGTGACCGTGGCTTCGAATCCCAGTTTGCCCTCATAATGTTTTTTAGGCCCGTGCTCCTGGATCTAAAAAAATGTTTACCGTATAACGTTTTCTTCACTTCGGGCTTTCCTCCCACATCAAATGATCCGTTAAAATACTGTAAAAATCGGCTTTAAACCAAACTAACTCTCTCACTTAACGAAACAGCATGTCAGTGTGTGGATATGGTTTTACGCCGCTTTTAGCAACATTCCAGCGATGTCTCAGCGGGGAGACCAGGGCTATACACATTGTACCCATGTGGGGAAATGGGCTATACACATTGTACCCATGTGGGGAAATGGGCGGGGCCATTCACCACTAGGCTACACCGCCGCCCCAAACATGATGTACCGTATTCGACGTAATAAGCGCCCCGCTCTAATAAGCGCCAACTACGATATTTTCTAATATATGGCTTGCGTACAATCCCAGTAAGCACCCCTTCCGATTGATCAATGTACACAGGACTTATTTATTCGTGTATAATACGCATGTTATATGCATTCATAGTTATGGGAAATTAAATTCTGGAAAAAATATATCTGTCGTATATAAACATTTCAGGCTGTTAGCATAAACCACGAAATTTACGATCTTTCAACTCTGTTGTTTTTCACCAAAATAATATTCTAATAAGAGCACCCTATTTCTAACTTTGAGAGCGCCCTGGGCGCTTATTATGTCGAATACGGTAATTCGCTGTGCAATATATGCAGTACATGCATTTTCTACTGAGCAAATTACCATCCGTCCTTCATTGTCCAGTTTTTAATTTATTCGTTCCATTAAGATAAATACACTGGACCCAGTCGCTACCAAAGCGTCGGTTTGAGGCCGATTCGAAAGAAACGACGCTAGAAATAGAGATAGTTCGGTCAAAATAACGATAGACCCACCACAAATTGCAACAGGAATGTTTTTAGTTGATTCATATTTATCAAGCTCTCCTTAACATCATATCAAAAATTTAGAAAAATCTAAGTGGGGGAACATTTTCAAATTCAGTCATCTTTACTACAGTAAACTACGGTTATAACGAACACGCTTATAACGAACTGACGGATATAACGAATTTACTTTTTGGCCCCGACTACTTGCTGTAGTCATGCCGTATATGTACTTATAACGAACTACGGTTATAACGAACTAACATTAGTAGTCCCTTTGAGTTCGTTATAACCGTAGTTTACTGTATAGCATTTTCATAGAAAAAATAAATATATTCAATTTTTTTTATTTACTCAAAGTTAACTATGTTACATATCAAATGAAAGCTACTAATACATGCTTCATTATATTCTACCTTTCCATATTTTGTCTTGTTTTGGTTCAGACAAATCAGCAAAAATCTCTTTTCAGCTTTCAATAATAGTAATCTATCATGTTCCAAACAGCATTAAACCGTCATATGCTGACCGAAACAAACCATTTAGTTATCAATGCAGCACATACATGCATTGTCACAGGTATGCACATCACAGTTCACTTCAAATGCCTCAGGCTGTTGGCAGTTCAAACAAGACATGCAAAATAGATACAAACTATAGATACAAAAGGACTGCATGTGATGCCAGCTTTCTTTTGATATCTAACTTGATATGATTAAACGAAAAATGAAACATTAAGTTTTCGGGCCTTATTTTACATTGATTTACCCCAAAAGATCAAACCCAAACTAAACAATTTTTCCCAACTTAGATTTTCCTAGATTTTAACTATGTTGTGAGGGGCTGCCTTCTGAACATTAAACAGGAGAAATCATTTCTGTTGTAATTTGTGGTTGGTTTGGTAGGATTTGACACTATATTGACCGGACTAAGACCGATCACGTTACAATGATGTTCCAGGGGGATCTGACAAGAGATGGAATTGGTGACGTTACGTTCCAAACGAAGTTGTCATAGCGAATGAGTGAGATAATATGGTTTTACGTCGCTTTTAGCAATCTTCCGGCAATACCACGGCAGGGCACACTAGAACTGGACTTCACACGTTGTACCCATGTGGGGAAATAACCCGGACCTTTGGCGTGACGAGCGAACACTTTAGCCACAAGGCTACCCCACCGCCCATGGAACACAGGGCACAGGATCTATCTATCTATCTATCTATCTATCTATCTATCTATCTATCTATCTATCTATCTATCTATCTATCTATCTATCTATCTATCTATCTATCTATCTATCTTCCCGAGGCAATAGCGTCAACTAGCCTTTTTATCAAAGCTTTGTTTCCACCCTTGCGACATTAAGCCCACTTTCCTGTGCTAAATATCATTGGACAATCGCACATATCGATAGTCCAATCAGAGAGCGTTTCACAAAATCAACATCCACGACTGGTACACCTTCGAATGAAAATGATTTATATTCTCATGAAAAAGTGAGTGCACCGGGCACAGTGTTCACTCCAAAAATAAATTCATGATAATAAACCTTTTTGGTTCAGTATACATATACATACATTATACACGGATCAACGCATCAGGAGCTACGTGTAGGTTGTTATGTTGTAAAACGTCCGTAAGCATTGCAAGAGAGAAGAGGGCGGTTACCCGCATGTATCTGCTCTCCGCGAGTCAACGTGCACTTGCCGGCTGCTCGGATATGCGTGAACATCATTGTTAACCGGGTTTAGTAAGATTTTTGACAATGTGGCATTCATAATATATTTTCTTCGACGAACTTTAAAAGCATTTTTCTCGACTTCAGATCAACCCGCATCGGGTTGCCCGTCCCAGTCGTCAACACACCAAGACATTTAATAGGTGAATGTCCTATTTGTCTTTGACGTAACGCACACTGGCTCCTAGAGTTCTTTTACACCGGCAATAACAGTTCGAGGTCATAGCAGCACATTGTGACTCCTGAACGATGTACAGGAGTTATGATGGTATTATCTTTCCGGGAATAATAATAATAATAATAATAATAATAATAATAATAATAATGATGATGATGATGATGATGATGATGACGACGACGACGACGACGACGATGATGATGATGATGATGATGATAAATCTTTCAAAATTTTAATCCATAGAATAAAATAATTACAAATTTATAAATAAGGAATGATATACAAAATTGCGCTACAAAATTAATACCCCGGTATTTAAGTTATATTCCAACTCCCTGTATACGACTTAAACTAAATTCACACAACCATCTCATCCTACCGGGTACCCGTTTACTGCTGGGTGAAGGCATGCATATTTCAATATGCTAGTTGTCTAAGGAGACCACATGTAACATGTGTTTCCGAGTGGGGCAGCACCGTGGCCATAGAAACTCGCAGATGTCCAGCTTGCTCACTGCCACCCATATGCCGACTGTCTGCCACCAACCGTCCAGGTGTCTCCACATATTATACCTGAATACCAAAACGTTAAAAGATGGTACTTGTTGTTACCCTGCCTGGCGCTCGGCAAAAACAATGACTGGTCGGCTCGAGTCAGTATACTGTGTCTGAGTGGGGTATTCATGTTAAACTGGCGCTCGGCATTAAGGGGCTAAGACAATGACTGGTCGGTTCGGAGTCAGTACACTGTGTCTGAGTGGCGTATTCATGTTAAACTGGCGCTCGGCATTAAGGGGCTAAGACAAGGACTGGTCGGGTCGGAATCAGTATACTGTGTCTGAATGGGTATTCATATTAAACTGTGGCGTGGCATCGCAGTGAGCTAGCGCTATAAATCCTTGTCTTTGCTTTCTTAATACCGAGCGCCAGGTAGGGTAACAACAAACACCATCTTTTAACGTCTTTTGGTGTGACGCGACTTCCCCCTCTCCGAGCAGACGTTCTACCACTAGACCACGGTACATGTGACCTTTAAATGACAAACAGCTCATAACGGGTTCATTAAAAGTGCAACTTCAGAATGAGTAATAACCCTCAAAATGTGGAACCGGCGCCGAACTTAATATAAATAAACATTAAAAAGCTTAGGTCGGTTAATGATGAGAAGCAAAAATCTATTTTAACAGTTTACAATTTTTCTCTTTCAGTTGGCTGAATCTCCCATAGCATGAGCCGCCGTTTGGAAACCAGTGAAGCGTGTGACGTCTCGGGATAATCCACCGGATGACTTCATAATAAAGCATACAGCTATATCCGCTGGATCAGCGCCTCTTTTCTACCAGTGGGACTCGTAACCCGTGGAAACACGCTGAAACAGTTGACCTCAGATCACCCTCCTCGCTTCAACAAAATATTGAACCGAGACGTACAGGTGGACTCCATGCTGGGATATGACATGTGTGTGTGTCTGTGTGTCTGTGTGTGTCTGTGTGTACATAGACTCACAGTAAATGTTTACATCAACTTTGATCTTCTCCCGACATCCTGACTCCGCACAGGGAAATGAGTGCTCATGAATTGTCTATGTACCTTTATGCGACAATTGAACACGGCTTTACCGCATGGGTTATGTTAATTTCGGACATGGGGATGTGAACAGTACGACCCGAACTCTGCCTATATGTTAATACATGTATGGCAACGTCCGAGGGCCATAAATGACTTTACCTTAATCTAAAGTAGAGTGGAGTATATAATTGTGATTCATGATATCGTTCCGCTTCGTTTGGAGAAAGGTTCAGTGTGGCCTGTGATGTCGAGTTATTATTTTCTGCGTTTCACGACACATCACCGATCTTACCCGATATTAATCTCTCTGACCAACCTTGAACTACCTTCGCTTTTAAGAGACACCATCCGTGAATTGTGGGCATTAAATAACATTTTATTTGATGTTTGTATGCCCATTGTAGGGCAGAACCTACCGTTGACATATTCACCAACAAACGTATGCATTCATACAGGTGAGTATCCGATACTTCAAGAGGTGCGCCGCAGACGAGGCGTCAGGAGTCGCCCACAGCACATCAATCACCTTCACGACGTCTTACCATGTGATTGTTTTCTAGAGACGTAAATTTGAAATAGATTCTCATCCATCCAAGATGTTTAAAGGGAGGGAGAAGGACAGTGAACACGTCCTCCACGCTTTAATGCCCGGAGCGAGGATAAACAAAGGAAACAAAAAGATTACCATCAACGTTGGAACCTCTAATGAAACCATTACTTTTAATGTCGGTGGATCCCAGTTTGAAACATACAGGTCCACCTTAAACCGTCTCCCCTTCAGTCCTCTAGGGGATGAAGACTTTCTGAAGAAGCATTACAGGGAGGATAGGAAGGACTACTTCTTTGACCGGGAGCCTGATGTTTTCAAGGCGATATTGAACTACCTCCGCACGGGGGAGCTGCATCTCCCTGCCTGGCTTTGTGGGGCTTCTATCAAGAACGAACTGGCATTTTGGGGCGTGGAGGAGGATGAGATTGAGGAGTGTTGCTGGACGAACTACAACTCGTGGACGACGACGTTGGAGGCGTTGAGGAAGTTGGAGAAGGACAGGAAGGGGACGCTGGGGCACGTTGGCGAGAGCAACAAGAGACCAACGTCTCAGTGGAAGAAGTTCTGCCAACGTGGATGGACTCTCATGAACAACCCACGAGTTTCCGGATGGGCCAGGGTAAATAGTATTTATTTTTTGTTGTTTAACGCCGCTTTCAGCAATATTCTCGCTGCATGACTTTGGCGTTTTAATAATCGAGTCTAGGCCAGACAATCCAATGATTATTTCATAAGCAACATCCAGCCCTCTTGGGTACGATGACACGCAATCAACATACCACTGTAACATGTTTAGGTCACGTGTTTCTGTGGGTCTGAAAGTCTATGGGTATCGCACGATGGCTTCCTTCGTGATACGGCGATTCATCAAAATGTACTTTACGGTCCATAGCAGGATAAGATTTTTTTTATTTCCAAGTGTCAAAAGTAATTTGCACATGTTCATAATTACAATTTTAAGTATTATGGAAATCAGTCAAATTCTACGTTCAAATGTAAATTTCAAATTTACAAATTTATAAAATCAAATCTCTGGTTATTTAAATTCTTTATTTGATCTGCGCAGGAATTTGGAGAGAAGATAAATGTGAACTGACTTTCTGTTTTACAATAGACTTACTATTAACTCTTTATCCCTTGGTCACGCCAGAAACCTATGAACTTGAGTTCGAATCCCGGTTCGCCCCGATTATGTTTCTAGGTTTGTCAGCGTCATACCCGGTTCGTGGCATCAATTCAGGCTTTCTTCCCATATTAAGCTGACACGCCTTGATATAACTGGAATACTGTTCAAAGCGGCGCTAAATCCCAAATAACTCACCCCTTGTGCTGCAATCACTTTTGCAATTAAATGTTGTTGTAACCACCGAGTCAAAGCTAAATCACCTTAAGAAGGACGGGGGCACGCCAGAAACCTATGATTGTGGGTTCGAATTCCGGTTCGCCCAAATTATGTTTCTAGGTTTGTCAGCAACATACCCGTGCTCGTGGGTTTCACCGAAGTGGTAAACGTCTGAGACCTGCATCACTTTCCTCCCACATTAAGCTGACACGCTGATATAACTGTAATAATGTTAAAAGCGGCGTTAAACCCACCTCACTCACTCACTCACTCTTAAGAAGGACGATATTTACGAGAATGAATAAAATGAAATGCGGAAGGTTAGCACAATTATAACGTTGAACATAAATCACCACTTGACACCAGGAACATATTTTATGGACTATCTAATTTAGGGCATAAATTAAGGGAAGTGTCAGAATCAGATTCATTTATCCTGACGTCACCATGATATGTAATGGCGATACCTATAAAAGTAGGATATCAATATAACTGATTTAGATGGAATCGTACACTGGACTCTTTTAGACACGGGGCGGTCGGGTAGCCTGGTGGTTAAAGCGTTCGCTCGTCACGCCGAAGACCCGGGTTCGATTCCCGACATGGGTACAATGTGTGAAGCCCATTTCTGGTGTCCCCCGCCATGATATTGCTGGAATATTGCTAAAAGCGGCGAAAACCATACTCACTCACTCACTTTCAGACACAATTTCTTAGGATTATGAAAAAGGTTTTATCGCTTATCATTTATTTGTTTATATTTATTTATTCATCACGTAATATAGTCCAAAGGCCCAGGAGGGGCGGTCGGGTAGCCTAGTGGTTAAAGCATTCGCTCGTCGCGCCGAAGACCCGGGTTCGATTCCCGACATTGGTATAATGTGTGAAGCCCATTTTTGGTGTCCCCCGCCGTGATATTGCTGGAATATTGCTAAAAGCGGCGTAAAACCATACTCACTCACTCACTCACCCAAAGGCCCAGGTTGCAACAGCATCACTTTGAGTGAGGAGAAGTGGCATTTTGGCGAACACCTGGTGTCATGTCACTATTCTGCCTTTAGGCCAACGGAAACTGTTTCGGCAGTTAATCGAGACTGGTTATTGTCTGGCCTTGACGTTTTGTGTTCATAATATTGCTTGATATGATATAATGTCTTCCAAACACGTTTCGTTAATTTTCAAAGAGACTGTTTTTGGCTTATATTTCTTATGAATATGGAAAGGGGTTTAATCGCTATTGTTTACACGTGAATAAAGTCATAAGATTTGTAACGCGAGTCTTACATAACAGTAACGTTCAAGGTCGAACGTCATCCAGGATTTGTGGCTCTATTGTTGGTCGCTGTTATTCGATGACGTCATACCTCGGTGTGAGGTTATGGTGTAGTTTGTCCTTAACCCCTTTGAGGGGTTTTCTTAGCGACGGCACATGTATTTGACCGAGACCATCGATGATGTCAGTCCTTTTGGAGATTAAAGTCGAGGGCGGTTTCATAATAAAAAATGTATATATAAAATAAAGATTTAATAAAATATTAAACATTAACTAGTATCCGTAATCGTAATTGACATTCAAACATGGAACAGAATATGTGAGGTGAGGTGAAATGGGGTTTAACGTCGCGTCCAAGATTATTGCACTTATATAGCGACGTGCATGCACGTGTGTGTGTGTGCGTGTGTACTTGTCCGGACTGATGCCGATTTATAGTGCTAGCACACTGAGATACCATGCCGCAGTTTAACGTGAATACCGTACACAGACACAGTATACTGACTCCGAGCCGACCAGTCCTTGTTTTAGCCCCTTAATGCCGAGCGCCAGACAGGGTAACAACAAGTACCATCTTTTAAGGTCTTTTGATGTGACGAAGCCCGGACCTTCCGCTCTCCGGGCGGACGCTCTACCACTAGACCACGGAGGCGGTCACAGAATGTGGGCACTTATAATCTACATGTCAGCCATATTTGACTAACGACATAAGGCTATGCCTTTTTATGTAGACGTTCAATATCAGTGACACGACTGATATCATCTTTGTGAGTGTGTGAGTGAGTGAGTATGGTTTTACGCCGCTTTTAGCAATATTCCAGCAATATCACGGCAGGGGACACCAGAAATGGGCTTCACACATTGTACCCATGTCGGGGATCGAACCCGGGTCTTCGGCCTGACGAGCGAATGCTTTGACCACCAGGCTACCCGACCGCCCCTCAGATACTTAACACTGAGAACAGTTCCATTAATTATTTTATCTTACAATTAAGGGATTTGTACGGAAACCTATTAGGGGCATATCATGTTTGAAATTTATCTTGAAAATTCAAGATGAAATGTTGAAAGTTCAAGCTAATATGTTGAAAATTCATTATGTTGGTTTAAAATTCAAGATACTGGTTTAAATTTTTCAAATACGTTAACAATGCTAAAGCATCAATCTATTGTCCCGAAATTTCAACACAGTATCATGAATAATCAACGTAGTATCTTGAAATTTCAAATAAGTATCGTGATATTTCCAATAAGCATCTTGAATTTTTAAGAAAGAAAAAAATATTGCCCAAACGGGCTTCCGTGGTTTTGTGATAGTCCCCTGGCTTTTCAAATCATAACTACCGTTAATCTATTGTTATAACATTCTCGCTGCCGGCACTTGAGGAATAAACGGCTCCTTCAAACGTCCCCTTTTGGCTACCTTACCTCCACTGTATTTGACAAGGGATTATATATACATGGATTAACATTATAGGCCTGTGTGGTCTCATATTATCTTAATCTGGGGTAAGTACCATAAATGCTTGACCTAGGGTTATATATATTTATAACATCCACCTAATGAGTGCATTATAACTATCATTAAGAGGTTCTTATTACAGGTGAGGTGAAATGGGGTTTAACGTCGCGTCCAAGATTATTGCACTTATATAGCGACGTGCATGTACGTGTGTGTGTTTTGTGTGGCTGCTTGTACTAGTCCGGACTGATGCCGATTTATAGTGCTAGCTCACTGAGATACCATGCCGTAGTTTAACATGAATACCCCACTCAGACACAGTATACTGACTCCGAGCTGACCAGTCCTTGTTTTAGCCCCTTAATGCCGAGCGCCAGACAGGGTAACAACAAGTACCATCTTTTAACGTCTTTTGGTATGACGCGGCCCGGACCGAACCCCGGACCTTCCGCTCTCCGGGCGGACGCTCTACCACAAGACCACGGAGGCGGTCGTGTCTTATTACAACTTAGACTGACCAAAACACAGACCGTGAACATAGCCCCTTAATCTATGTCAGATTCAAGATAGAATTAAAGAAAGCTATCGATCGATACCAAACGGCTTGAAGATATTGGGTAACACGTGACATATATACGTCACAAAACCCGAAGTGACCCAAAACGCGCGATAACGTAAGCCTCGTTTTGGATTAAGCAGTGCTTAGAATGAGCGCTTGGTGACTATCTTTAATACTCATCCGGGATTAACAAGTTCACGCCTGGTGTCACTTAGAAATCCCAAAATTTGATGATGGTGTTTCAGAGTCAGCCTCAAGTATTCTTGTATTTTGATTGATTAGGTGAGAGTGAGTGTGTGAGCTTTACGCGGCTTTCAGCAATATTCCAACAATATCAGGGCGGGAGACACCAGAAATTGGCTTCACACATTGAACCCATGTCGGGAATCGAACCCGGGTCTTCGACGTGATGAGCGAACGCTTTAACCTCAAGGCTACCCGACCGCCCCGATTTGGTGAGAGGTTGGCTAATGTTTTGGCGTTTATGTTTTCATAAACCTAAACCAAAATAGTGAAACCTATGTTAGGCCACGCCCAATAACACACTACCGTATCCTGATTGGATGACAAAAGAGTGGGCGGGGCTTGTGCACTTTTGCGCCGATCGCCGTCACATATTTTGTAGCGTTACCTTCAGCATGTTCTTTTGTCTTAATTGAACGCGACATTAAACCACATTTCACCACACCTAACCTTTTGTGTTAATGATTAAAACAGGCAATCTGTGTACAAGTAGTTATTATTGTTGACCTTTTTCTTTATATGAATTGACTTCAATATGTTTTTAAGTTTATGGAGTTTTACACACACACCCAAAAAAAGAAAAATAATGAAAACGAAAAGACCCCGTTCAGTTTACATGCTGGGTTTTTGAAAAATATTATGTTGTCCCTCCAAAATATTTTTTGTCACCCCTTTCAGAAAAAAACAAATGTATGTTTTGGGACACTGAAAAACAATTCACTGGCTCGAAAAAAAATCCGCCACGCCCCCTACCCAAACTTTAGGAAAGGTATATGTGATATGACTCTACTAAATGAGGTGATGGTGAGGTGAGGTGAAATTGGGTTTAACGTCGCGTCCAAGATTATTGCACTTATATAGCGACGTGCATGCACGTGTATGTGTGTGTGTGGCTGCTTGTACTAGTCCGGACTGATGCCGATTAATAGTGCTAGCTCACTGAGATACCATGCCGCAGTTTAACATGAGTACCCCACTCAGACACAGTATACTGACTCCGAGCCGACCAGTCCTTGTTTTAGCCCCTTAATGCCGAGCGCCAGACAGGGTAACAACAAGTACAATCTTTTAACGTCTTTTTGTATGACGCGGCCCGGGATCGAACCCTGGACCTTCCGCTCTCCGGGCGGACGCTCTACCACTAGACCACGGAGGCGGTCCTCTACTAAATGAAAACGTATGACAGCGCTACTGCTTTCTAGTTCGGTCATATATTTTCAACAAAATTACGCTAAAACCTTCCGCGAATAGCCAAATAACCGTCATTGTAAAAGCTGTATCTGTGCCTTGGGTGGCAACTGTGCCTGTCCCTTCCCCCACTATAGAGTCACGGTCAATTACAGCCATACCACACACTCTAATGGTCCTACACGTCTCCCATATTCCGAGCGAACCCTTTGATGAAACATATTACCTGTCGCCATAAGTATGTGTCAAGGATGAATCAGTATGTGATACCATCTTGCGAAGGTGTATCTTAACCTATAGATACCAGCCCGTACACTTGTTTGTGTGATACGAACATATACTGCTCACATTTTGGTAGGGATAACCTTATCATTATCAGCATCATTTCAAATGATAAGAAGTATTTTAACATCCGCTTAAGCTTCTGTTTTAAGTTTTGTAACAGTGTGAAATATCTCAGTTTCCCTTTCAAAAATTGAGTAGTATATATTCCGTCTGGTTTTAACTGACGTATATTTGGTCGCAGCAACCCCACCTTTGCTATACAGTAAACTACGGTTATAACGAACTCAAGGGACCTCCAATTTCAGTTCGTTATAACCGTAGTTCGTTATAAGCATATATAGCTCAACTGCAGCAAATGTTTGGGACAACAAAGTAAGTTCGTTATACGCGTGGTCGTTATAAACGTAGTTTACTTATGTGAATGTCCCGCCGTGATATTGCTGGAATATTGCTAAAAGCGGCGTAAAACCATACTCACTCACTCACTCACACACTCACTTATGTGAATGTGAAAGGCCGCTTTAACTAGTATTCATTTGTCATGAGTGAAGCTTATTTCTGGTGTCCTCCTCCGTGATATTGCTGGAATATTGCTAAACGCGGCATAAAACCATATTCACTCACTCGGTTATCCCGTGGCAGAGGTTAGAGAAAAGATCGAAGTGCTGTACGTATTAAACGTTCTCCATTTTTGTGAATTCCATGAGCACGGGTATGGTTCTGACAAATCAAGATCATTGTCATGGATTAAAGGTGTCTGGCACGCCTAAGGGACGCAACTCTCCACGGCGAAGTGCGACACTCCAGACGACTGGGTCAGCCGTGCCGCCTTGCCATGTACTTGAATGGTACCGGGTACATGTTCCAAATGTCCTTCCTACTGAAAATAAACACTAGAATTCGTAAGAGCAGGTGGTCAGTCTCTGTGACATAGCAGTTTGTTTATTGTCGTTCTACGATAGCGAAGATGACCCGTGAAGATCCGGGGTCTTCAACAACCCACGCTTGCCTTAAAAGGCGACTATGCTTGTCGTAAGAGGCGACTAACGGGATCAGGTTCGCTGACTTGGTTGATGCATGTCATCGTATCCCAATTGCGTGGATCGATGCTCATGATGTCAATTACTCGATTGTCTGGTCCAGACTCGATTATTTACAGACCGCTGTTATATAGATGGAATATTGATGAGTGCGTCGTTAAACAAACAAACACACGATAGCGTAGATGGCTGCCTATCCATTCGGGATCCATGTCTAGTCGGTACTTGATTACCTACAGGTTGCCTTGAATAATGTTTGGCGTAAAACAGCATTCACTCGCCCATTTTGGTACTCTTATCGTTTCACATTCGATAGCCCTGCGGGGCGGTCGGGTAGCCAAGTGGTTAACGCGTTCGCTCGTCACGCCGAAGACCCGGATTCGATTCCCGACATGGGTACAATGTGTGAAGCCCATTTCTGCTGTCTCCGCCATGATATTGCTGGAATATTTCTAAAAGCGGCGTAAAACCATACCCATCATCAACCACTATAGGCCTGCTGATGTGCACAGCTATCCAGCTAGTGGGGCACAATATTGATGATTTTTTTTGTAAATTCCTCCATACATTGAAAATTATTGTATGACGATGACCGAAAAAGTTTTCTGCTCCAACACAAAATCCCGCCACGAAGTTAGAGGGCCCTTACGAGGTTAATAGCGTCAAGTCCATATTACGGTTCGTGAGTTTCAGCACTCCCTGCTGAATGACCTGCTGATGCGGCTGTAAACAATATTCACTCACTACAAAATAACCTCAATAGCAGATAAAGGGGACCTGGCTAGAGACATCGCTTGACCCCCATTCTCTGTCCGTAACCAGCGGGTAATCGGGGATGCTGACTGTATTTATCATGTGTCACCTTGATATACTCGACGCACCCATTGTGTTCATCAGAGCGTCCTTTTTCACGTGATCACCTGATGGAGCGGTGAGGAAAGGTGAAATTGGGTTCAACGTCACGTTCCAGATTATTACAATAATATAACGACGTGCATGCACGTGTGTGTGTGTTTGTGTTTGTGTGTGTGGCTGCTTGTACTAGTCCGGACAAATGCCGAGTTTATTGTGATAGCTCACTGAGATACCATGCCGCAGTTTAACATGAATACCCATCTCAGACACAGTATACTGACTCCGAGCCGACCAGTCCTTGTTTTAGCCCCTTAATGCCGAGCGCCAGGCAGGGTAACAACAAATACCATATTTTAACTATTTTGGTCTGACGCGACCGTGGATCGAACTCCCGTACCCCCCTGGGGCACTAGACTTCGGAGGCGGCCCCCGATTGGAGTGGGAAATCTAGTATTTGAATGCCAATACGGATCTTGCGCGTGATTACATTCCCAGACATAACTGTCTGTCTCAGCGCTTGTGTAGTTAATGAATACAACCAAGTCATACAATATTAATTTTTCACCGGGTTAATCCAAATAAATACATCGCCAACTGAAATACTGTTGAAAACGGCGTTAAACTAGCTCGCTTGCTCGCTCACTCACTCACTCACTCACTCACTCACTCACTCACTCACTCACTCGTCTAAGGCGCCACGATTCGCTGTGCAGAAACCTTTGATTGTGGGTTTGAATCCCGGTTCGATTATGTTTCCAGGTTTGTCAGCACCATACCCGTGCTCTTGGGTTTCACCGAAGTGGTAAACGTCTGAGACCTGCATCACTTCGGGCTTTCCTCCCACATTAAGCTGACACGCCGCGATGTAACTGGAATACTGTTGAAAGCGGCGTTAAACCCAACTCACTCACTCACTCGGTATCCTACTCACTTACTCACGCTCCCAGTCACTCACTCACTCACTCACTCGCTTTAAGCATCGTTGTTTCTTTGTTTTGCAGGTTATTGGCGCTGTATCGATGCTGTTTGTCATCCTCTCCATCTTTTCATTCTGCGCAGAAACACATGAGAGTTTCCACACGTACGTCTCGCAGAACGCCAGCTTCAGCAACAACAATTCATCCTCGGTCAATGTCGCAGACAGCAAGGATGAAGGCGACGGTAAACTGGACGTTCAGATCCATCCATCGTTATTCTTCATTGACGTTGTGTGTACGGTATATTTCCTGCTCGAGTTTATAACAAAATTCGTGTTTTCTCCAAAGAAAGGAAGCTTTTTCGTTCTGCCAATGACAATAATTGATATCTTAGCACTAGCGCCGGATATCGCCGAGACGTTGTATCGCCTGTCCACGTCTAATTATTACTCACGTGACACCCTTGCTGTACTTCCGGTTCTGCGCGTCACAAGGATCTTCCGTATTTTCCGTCTCATGCGTCACATCCCAGGATTGTATATCCTGTTCTATACACTCAAGGCAAGCTTAAGAGAACTGCTTCTGATGCTGCTGTTCTTGTTCGTGGGGATGCTGGTGTACTCTTCTCTCATCTACTTTGCGGATGACCGGAGCACGTTCACCAGCATCCCTCACGGGTTCTGGTGGGCGCTCATCACCATGACAACCGTCGGTTATGGTGACATGTTTCCGGTGACGAATCTGGGTTACCTTGTAGGATCAATTACGGCCGTGTCGGGATTGCTCATGATTGGGTTCACTGTGCCGATCCTTGTCAGCAACTTCGTGATGTACTACCACCACACCCAGTCGGCACTGGAACGAGAGCGGAAGAGAGTAGGAAGACAAAAGCAGCTTGAAGCTGAAGCAAAGAGGCGAAGACCAAGCTTGTTCAATCTCGCCATCCGATCCAAGTTTCAGACCAAGGATGATGTAACGGGCTCGCGGCTGGCATCTATGGCGGATGACGCTGCCAAGCAGCTCACCAAGACGTTGGACAAGGATTGTTCAGCACCTTATTCCACGGCTTCATCTCCAAGAGAGGAAACAGACCTACTGATGAAAGATTCCAACGGGAACAGCCCGTGAAAATTATTGAGGGGCAATAAGTTTGATAAAGAAAAATACAGTTAAGTACGGTTATAACGAACTCAAAGGGACTACTAATTTTAGTTCGTTATAACCGTAGTTCGTTATAAGCATATATACAGCATAACTAAAGCAAATAGTCGGGACCCAAAAAGTAAGTTCGTTATATCCGTCAGTTCGTTATATCCGTCAGTTCGTTATAAGCGTGTTCGTTATAACCGTAGTTTACTGTAAAGCTGTCCTCATAAACGTCAGAGATGCAATATATTCTTATCATTCAAGTGTCTCACGGTTAGACGGAAGTCTCCTGGTCAGAGCGCTGACATTCCACGAAGACGCGGGTTCGCTTCCCCTCACTGGTACAATCTGTGAAGCCTATTTCTGGTGTCCCCCGTCTTGATATTGCTGGAGAATTGCTAAAAGAGGCTTAAAACGCAACTGAGTGAGTGAGTGAGTGAATATGGTTTTACGCCGCTTTTAGCAATATTCCAGCAATATCACGGAGAGGGACACCAGAAATGGGCTTCACACATTGTACCCATGTCGGGAATCGAACCCGGGTCTTCGGCGTGACGAGCGAACGCTTTAACCACTAGGCTACCCGACCGCCCTAAAACGCAACTGAACTCATTCTCATGTGCTCATGTACAGTGTCATGTCGCTTCACGTGGGAGAGGAATAACAGACATTTCTCTCCGCGAATAACTGCAAGATTGCTGATGCGTCGGTAAACAATAATCACTCCCACACTTCACGTTGGACAAGACTCCACAGCTTAGTTGTCACAGACACACGCAAAGGCAAGTCAATGTTCACCTGAAAAAAACACGGGAACATATGGTACATGTCAAAATAGGGAATTGCCACTGATGCGTCAAATTTGGAAATTTCCTCCACATGTCTACCATAAAACTTTTTGAAAGCTTTACTGAGACCTTGAATGCTGAAGCCTTGATCAAACAACTACTGAGGAAGAGTCGTATGCCGCTCTATGAAACAGTGCATCGCGACCTTAACCAAGAGACCCGGTCTGATCTATCGCTGATACCAGGTCCTCGCCCAACCGATATCACCCGTCACAAACACATGCAAAGGAGAGTCAATTGTTCACCTGAAAAACACGCGAACATGTAGTATAAGTCAAAATAGGTAATTGCCTCGGACATAATTTTTGTCACCGATGCGTCAAATTTGGAAATGTCCACCACATGTCTACCATAAAACAGTTTGAAAGCTTTACTGAGGCCTTGAATGTTGTAAACTTGATCAAACAACTGCTGGTAGAAAGAGCATGCTCGATTGTATCTCAAAAGACTTGAAATGTAGACACCAAAGGCTGGAACTGCTGGAATATTGTTCGACATGAAGGGAAAGTTGACTGTTGGAAAGTTGAAGTCAACTCTCTTGTCTTACAGTCTTGTTGAGAGTGTTTTGTCATTCTGAATCTGTATGCAGAGATCTAAATATGAAATAGATGAGGCGGTCTCACTGGTCTCCTTTGTGTCTAGTTCAGGTGGGTAAATCAGTGGAAGGGAATTGGCTATTTGATGATTATTGAACGATATAAGATCATCGATATACCTGGAGCTTAAGTTAAACTTCTTGGGCAAATTACTTTGTTTTGACTTTGCCAATCCGAACAGAAATTCCGATTTATATGCATTGGAAATTCTGATTGAAACGCATTGGTTGAAAAACGTTGGTAAATGAGATTTGAAGCCCGGAAAGTGTTTTGTTCTTATTGTTTTTGCATTATAAATATTTGATAACTGTTTTAAAGAAGACATTGCTTCAAGTCATGCTTACTCTTTTCGCTGATTTTCAGTGATCCATTCATATGTTTCATCACTGTTTTGACTTTCACGCCATATTAAACCTGTTTCGGCAGACAATCGAGACTGATTATTCTCTGGCGTTGACGTTTCATATTTAGATGAACATTCTTTAGCGAGTTTGGTTGTCATTGGTGTCTTGACCATTGATGACGTCATTGTATTGAGGGATGACGTCATATCTGTCTCATTATTGTACACGTGGAGAGCGAGAATTTCGGAATCGTACTCTTCAGATGAGCGTGGGTGATAGTATGTTTTTTGCCCGGATAAGACAGAAGTTTTAAAAAAATACGCTTATCCGAAAGAAAATAATGATTATCTCAATAATAACATTCAGACAATGTGAAGCTTCGCTCCAGTTGTAACTTATGTTTTGTTTAAGAAATAATCGATAATCAAGAAACTGACATTGCATCAGTCTACGCAGTTGGGATACGATGACATGCAATCATGGATCTGCTTTTAAATAGTCGTATATTTGCGATCAATGTTTTAAATGAATTGGTACCTTGTACACTGCCATTTTCATCCGTGTATTCTTGAACAATTTGGGTTCCTACTCATACCCTACCTATGCATTTCGTACAGATGTTTACTTTTATACGAATATTCCTGAAGAATATTGTACATGGTACTTACTGGTTGTATAAAACTGCCAAATAAACAGTTCTTATTTTACATCCGCGCCATTTGTTGTAATTCATGGGATATAGGGTGTCTGTCTGTCTGGCTGGCTTGCTGTCTGGCTGACTTGCTGTCTGGCTGGCTTGCTGTCTTGCTGGCTTGCTGTCTGGCTGACTTGCTGTCTGGCTGACTTGCTGTCTGGCTGACTTGCTGGCTTGCTGTCTTGCTGGCTTGCTGTCTGGCTGGCTTGCTGTCTGGCTGACTTGCTGTCTGGCTGACTTGCTGGCTTGCTGTCTTGCTGGCTTGCTGTCTGGCTGGCTTGCTGTCTGGCTGACTTGCTGTCTGGCTGACTTGCTGGCTTGCTGTCTGGCTGACTTGCTGTCTGGCTGACTTGCTGGCTTGCTGTCTGGCTGACTTGCTGTCTGGCTGACTTGCTGGCTTGCTGACTTGCTGGCTTGCTGTCTGGCTGGCTTGCTGTCTGGCTGACTTGATGTCTGGCTGACTTGCTGGCTTGATGTCTGGCTGACTTGCTGTCTGGCTGACTTGCTGGCTTGCTGACTTGCTGGCTTGCTGTCTGGCTGGCTTGCTGTCTGGCTGGCTTGCTGTCTGGCTGACTTGCTGTCTGGCTGACTTGCTGTCTGGCTGACTTGCTGGCTTGCTGACTTGCTGGCTTGCTGACTTGCTGTCTGGCTGGCTTGCTGTCTGGCTGACTTGCTGACTTGCTGGCTTGCTGTCTGGCTGACTTGCTGTCTGGCTGGCTTGCTGTCTGGCTGACTTGCTGTCTGGCTGACTTGCTGTCTGGCTGACTTGCTGTCTGGCTGACTTGCTGGCTTGCTGACTTGCTGGCTTGCTGTCTGGCTGGCTTGCTGTCTGGCTGACTTGCTGTCTTGCTGTCTGGCTGGCTTGCTGGCTTGCTGTCTGGCTGGCTTGCTGTCTGGCTGACTTGCTGGCTTGCTGACTTGCTGGCTTGCTGTCTGGCTGGCTTGCTGTCTGGCTGACTTGCTGTCTGGCTGACTTGCTGTCTGGCTGACTTGCTGGCTTGCTGACTTGCTGGCTTGCTGACTTGCTGGCTTGCTGACTTGCTGTCTTGCTGTCTGGCTGGCTTGCTGTCTGGCTGACTTGCTGGCTTGCTGACTTGCTGGCTTGCTGACTTGCTGGCTTGCTGACTTGCTGTCTGGCTGGCTTGCTGTCTGGCTGACTTGCTGGCTTGCTGGCTTGCTGTCTGGCTGGCTTGCTGACTTGCTGTCTTGCTGTCTGGCTGTCTTGCTGTCTGGCTGACTTGCTGGCTTGCTGACTTGCTGTCTGGCTGACTTGCTGGCTTGCTGCCTTGCTGTCTTGCTGTCTGGCTGACTTGCTGGCTTGCTGACTTGCTGTCTGGCTGGCTTGCTGACTTGCTGTCTTGCTGGCTTGCTGGCTTGCTGTCTGGCTGGCTTGCTGTCTAGCTGACTTGCTGGCTTGCTGGCTGGCTGACTTGCTGGCTTGCTGGCTTGCTGTCTGGCTGACTTGCTGTCTGGCTGGCTTGCTGTCTGACTGTCTGGCTGGCTTGCTGGCTTGCTGTCTGGCTGGCTTGCTGTCTAGCTGACTTGCTGGCTTGCTGGCTTGCTGACTTGCTGTCTGGCTTGCTTGCTGGCTTGCGGGGACGTGGCTAATAATGTCGGTTTTATCCTGCTGAGTTATCATGCTGCAGTTTAACACGGATACCCAACTCAGACACAGTATACTGATTCCGAGTCGACCCGTCCTTGTTTTAGCCCCTTAATGCTGAGCCAGACAGGATGACAAGTACTATATTTTAACGTCTTTTGGTTTGACACTGACGGGCATCGAACCACCGACTTTCCGCTCTCCGGGCAGACGCTCTACCCACTAGATCACGGAGGCGGCCAAGGACATCAGGTACACATACGGTGGACTGGCAGGATGTAATTGAGTGTGTGCGCGCAGCCTAATTATTTTTACCAAAGCTCTTTACAGTTACGACAGAATTGGTCATTAAAAACATCACAGAAGTTTCCGATTGTCTGACAGTGTAATTAGTAAAAGGCCTAGGGAGAGGTATAACTGCGGGAGTTGTCTCCCTGCAATATTGCCGCCCAGTAGGTACGTCTCGTGCTTGATTCAGTTGAGTATGATTTCAGACTTTGGTTATTTTTGTCGCCTATTTTACAAATCTCCCCATTTTCTACCCCAGCGTGTGACAAAAGAGTGGCTGTCGTGGCCCGTGTGGTATTGATAGTATTGATGTAAAATCATTGGCCGCCGGTCATAGGTCATCATTATTGCTGTAAGAATATGATGTCATAATATGACGTCATACACGAGACGTGTGGCCGCCATGTTGGAAGGCAAAAGCAGTGTAGAGCCTCCGCCCGGAGAGCGGAAGGTCCGTGGTTCGATTCCCAGCCGCGTCATACCAAAAGACGTTAAAATATGGTACTTGTTGTTACCCTGTCTGGCGCTCAGCATTACGGGGCTCAAACAAGGACTGGTCGGCTCGGAGTCAGTATACTGTGTCTGAGTGGGGTATTCATGTTAAACTGCGGCATGGTATCTCAGTTTGCAGTAGTACAAGCAGCCACACAAACACACACACGTACATGCACGTCGCTATATAAGTGCAATACTCTTGGACCTGACGTTAAACTCCATTTCACCTCACCTCACCTTATTCCATATCAACATGACATTCTGGCGACGAGGATACTGCTGAAGTATTTGAAACTGCTACAGATCTCCCATCTTTCTCAGGTTTTGATGTGCATGCGGATGCAAAAGCAGGAACGCGCTGGACGAAATGCCTGTCTCGATTTGAACATATCTTGATGCGTTCGACATTGCTGATGATTCCTGAGAACGTGCGTTGGTGCAGCATTATGCTGGACCAAATGTGGATGAAATATTTGACACATTAAAAGGGACAGGTAATGGTGACGATTATGAAACTGCCAAGACCAAACTGACTGAATATTTCACGCCGGTTGTCAATACTGCCGTGAACTTTAAAATTTTTCGAAATGCAAAACTGGAGAGAACATTGATGCAGATTCCACACGTCTTCGGCAGCTTGCGAAACATGTGACTTTATTAACGTTGGTGGGGAAATTGCTGCACAAAGGGTTCTCAGTTGCTTAATGTATAGATTAAGGAGAAGGGCTCTCATACAAAACCTGGTTTTGAAAGACTTACTTAGTGAAGGGAAATCTCTTGAATTACATGAATTTCAGGCTTCTGATGTGGAAATGTCTGTAAATATTGTCTCCCGTGGGAGAAGTAGAAACAGACATCAGGAACAACGTGGTCGTGGTTCACAGAGATTCAATCATCGCAGTCAGTCAAGAAACAGATGCAACAGACATTCAAGTCAACCACAAGACTGTCGCCACCCACAGACAATCACAAGACTATCATCACCCACAGACAATCACAGGACTATCCGCGCCACCCACAGACAATCACAAGGCTATCATCAACCACAGACAATCACAAGACTATCCGCGCCACCCACAGACAATCACAAGGCTATCATCACCCACAGACAATCACAAGACTATCCGCGCCACCCACAGACAATCACAAGACTATCATCACCCACAGACAATCACAAGGCTATCATCACCCACAGACAATCACAAGACTATCATCACCCACAGACAATCACAAGACTATCATCACCCACAGACAATCACAAGACTATCATCACCCACAGACAATTACAAGACTATCATCACCCACAGACAATCACAAGACTATCATCACCCACAGACAATCACAAGACTATCATCGCCCACAGACAATCACAAGACTATCGCCACCCACAGACAATCACAAGACTATCGCCACCCACAGACAATCACAACACTATCATCACCCACAGACAATCACAAGACTATCATCACCCACAGACAATCACAAGTGTCACGAAATCAACGACAGTCACAGAATCAACACAAAGTGGACAATCCATGTTATTGTTGCGGCTTTCAAAACCCCCATGATGGTAAATGTCCGGCAAGAGGTAAGAAATCTAGTGAATCTGGAATTCTAAATCATCTCTCATGTGTGTGTCGTTCACGTTTCAATTAAACCTCAAAGGCGAGACCAAGTACAGTTTGTTGATAGTAATTTTACGAATGCTTCGCAGATGATACAGAAAAGAACATTATTCAGTTTCCGTTGTTGTTGAACACGGAGTCAGTTGAGCTACAGATTATACAACCACTACCAGGCCTGTGAAACCTGTTGACCTGGAAAAGCAACCCCTGTCATTACTGACTCTGGAGTATCATGTGACGTCATGGATCAAAAAGCTTAGGATGTGCTCAAGCGAGATGGATGTGCTTTAGGAACACTAACTGATACCAAACGCAAATTGCACTGGTATTGGTCGGACACATCTTTGTCAGTAATTGGTGTTGTTACACTAACAGGCATACATGGTGATGTACAAACTGAGTGTGAATTTCATGTCATTCGAGGGAGATCAGGAAATCTTCTTAGCTTTTAATCAGCATAAAGTTTGGAACTCTTGAAAATTGCAAGACATAGTACATCAACAGACATGGCAGATGAATTCCCCAAATTATTCCATGGCATTTGCAAGGTCAAGAAAGAACAAGTCAAACACGTTGATAAATATTCAACCAAGTGAGACAATCACATCGCACAATTCCTTTTTAAATGCGAAAGGATATTGAGTGTAACGGTTCTTGATTTGGTGGTTTTAGCTAATTCCACGTATCTGGTTGATGTTCAATGCTCTTCGTGATGTAACCATGAGACGCAACACTTCATTATTTTTTAGGTTTATTACTGAGACCCGTCACCGTTGGCCACGTAAAAAACATTGTTAGGATTCAGACAAGCATAACACATCGTCGCAAACATACACATTCACTTGACAAGTTCAATGTGTAACGCAATCGTTTTCGCAAATCCCGCACATTTCACCGCATCTCATTTTTCAAATCATAACATGTGCTCTTCCCCACTTCCGTCCAAAGGGACGTAACTCGTCCTCGCATACCGCTAATAATAAAATACGCATTGCTATTTCGTAACACTTAAATATAAATCAACCATTAAATCTCCAACATTACATTGAGAATGAACAGCAACGTTTGTAAGAGCTTGATATTATAGAAAAGGTTGACAGTCCAACTTCGTGGGTCAGCCCAGTTCTAGGAGCACCCAAGAAACCGTAAGGCGTGAGACTGTGTTGACATGAGAGAGGCAAGCGTCACAATCTGAAGTGAGAGAAATATCACACCGACCATAGATGATCTGATTTCTGACTTAAATGGTTCCATGTGTCTAGCCAGATAGACCTGAATGCTACTTATCACCAGCTAGAGCTGCAGTCAGGTAGCAGATATATGACTACTTTCAGGACTCAAGTTAGACTCCGACGTTACAAATATCTGTCTTTTAGAATCAACACGGCCTCAGAAATATTTGAGAATGTGATAGATGAAATCATGCAACATATTCCTGGAAGTCGGAATATCTCTGATGCTATTATTGTCCATGGTAAAACAGAGAAACAGCATGATGACACCCTGTGGAAAGTTCCCCAGAGACTTGAAGAAAATGGCGTCACTCTGAAATCAAAATGTGAGTCGGAGATCACAGTTATTGGTCATGCATTCAGAACGAATGGCATGTCTTCATATCCTGAAAAGATAAAGTCAAGCATCAATACACCAGCACTATCAACACAGGATGAAGTCAAGTCCTTGCTTGATATGGCACAGTATGTGGCTAGATTCATCACTGACCATGCCATAATCACTGAACACCTGCGAAAGTTAACACTTCAAGATGCAACATGGAATGGACGACACCTGAAATCCAAGCATTCACGCATCTTAAAGAAACTTGAATTATTTGTTGACGCCAGTCCTGAAGGTAAAGTCGCCATATTCACACAAGAAAGGAAGGTTCTCAGATAGGCCTGTCGTGCTCTATCTGACGCCGAGACCAGGTTTTCACAAACTGAACGCGAGGAGTTGGCAGTTGTATGGGCTGCAGTGAGTGAGTTGGGTTTAACGCCGCTTTTAACATTATTCCAGTAATATCACGGCGTGTCAGCTTAATGTGGGAGGAAAGCCCGAAGTGATGCAGGTCTCAGACGTTGACCACTTCGGAGAAACCCACGAGCACGGGTATGGTGCTGACAAACCTAGAAACATAATCGGGGCGAACCGGGATTCGAACCCACAATCATAGGTTTCTGGCGTGTCAAAGGGACGCAACTCTGCACAGCGAATCGCGGCGCCTTAGACGACTGGGCCACCCGTGCCCCCTATGGGCTGCAGTGCAGTTTCACCTGTAAACATATGGTGAAAACAAGATAATCACTGATCACAAACCTTTGATGGGCGTCATGAAGAGTCGAAAGCCTGCATCTGTAAGAATAGAGCATAGGAGAATACGCCTGACTTCATACAAGTAGGGGCGGTCGGGTAGCCTAGTGGTTAAAGCGTTCGCTCGTCGCGCCGAAGTCCTGGATACGATTCCCGACTTGGGTACAATGTGTGAAGCCCATTTCTGGTGTCCCCCGCCATGATATTGCTGGAATATTGCTAAAGGCGGCGTAAAACCATACTCACTCACCCACTAACAATATACAAGTAGGAACTAGTCCGGCAAAGTTGAAAACAACCCTGCAGACTACATGAGTA